GCTTAGGAACCTATCCGCTATGTATAACAGAACAAACCTGCAACTGTGTTCGAATTGGTGATACTCAATTCCAAATTGCAATCACGTACTGTTATACATAGCGGATAGGTTCCTAAGCTTTTGTTTTTCTTTTTTCGTCTCCGCGTATACACGAACACCCATATCGTTCCTAATTTCCGTTGGAGGACAATGTTCGTTGATAATGCATTTGATTTCTATTATTTTTTCGGATGTATCTATCATTAGATGCTCTGCTATTGTAGAATTCAATAGGCTATAACTCGCATCCTCTCCGACTACAATTCCATCGACCTGAAAGTCTCTATATCTCCCATAGCTATCCCAATTTCCATTCAGTTGAAGCATAATTGGGATTTTCGATATAATTGCGGTTGTTACAGAAGAATTGTAGCTAATTTAGTCGCTTTTGAATTGTGAAATCAGAAAAACCAGTGAAATAGAGTATTGTCATAAAAACAGAGTAGTGAATTTTGGAGAGAAACGGGCGAAATTTAATAGCGAGATTTGCGTTTGATAAGATCTGGAAGAATCCTTAATATCCCAACATTCGCGCGCCTATTAAAGGAATTGTACAGCTAACAAGATTCTTTTTTTAATGATTTGTTTATATTTTGTAGAAAAACTGTTAGCAGGGCGGGTAAATTGCAAACTATGGATATTTTTCGTAATATAGTTTCCTATATGGTATAGGAATAAAAATTTCCCTTAATTATACGACGGAATGAGCGACTATATAGGTTGATTATTAATGTTAGTATATACACTGATATGGGGTACAAATATAGGCTGTTTTTTCACAAACAGCTTAATTTTCTGCATTTAACAAGAATAAATACATATAAATACAACTGAATACAACTTATATTTCATTGTACAACTGATATGAATACATATAAATACAACTAAATACAAACTGCAAAAATAAACTGGAGTAAGAAGTCAGTGATCGAAATATATGTACATATACAATACATACACATAAATAAAGACATTGCAATTAGAATAAAACAGTGATGGGGACTTTGAAAATCCTTATAAATACAACTAAATGCAATATGAAAAGGTCAGTCTAGTAAGGTACAAAACAGTGAAAGAACTATTTGAATACATCTAAATAAATCTAAATGCATTATGCAACATACAATTCAATAAAAGTCAATTTGTATACATCACAATACATATACATATTTGTACCATTGATTTCTGTAAGTACAAAGATACATTGAATATACTTTTTGAATAAATCTAAATACATCTACATGTATTTATATACATAAAAAACAGAGAAGTCAACATGTTTATACATATAAATACAGATGAATACATCAACAATACAGATGAATACATCAGAAATTACCTTTTCTTCCAGTGTATCCGAGCTTTTACTTGCTTCAACCTCCTTCCCCTTGACAGATGAAGCTTCAGAAATATGTTTTTCCCTATTTTCCGCAAGCAATGGGAAGTCTTGTTTCCTTCAATGATTTCTCAACTTGGGTTTCTTTGAAATTGTCATGGCGAGATTTTGTTCTCTTCTCCAATGCCATATTTTTGGCTAAACCTGCATCCAATTCCCCTTGACTGATTTGCAAGGAGAAAGAGGGCCCATCGAAAGTGAGAATTTTAGTGGGTATACCTCTGGTAATCAACTTGCGGGGTGTTGAATCAGACATTGTGAGAATACGCTTGGATACTGTTGATTAGAGAAAACTTGGTGAGTAGAGATGTTGAGAATAAAGAAAAATAGCAAAAATCAAAAAATTTAAATACTTACCACACTAATTATAGAAACAAATGACGAAAATCGAGAGGAAATTAGGGTTTATACCGAGATTGGGGAAGAAGGAAGCAGTGTGGGTGAGAGGTTTCTCTGCTTTTGAGCGTGTTTATAGGGAATGGGAAAGAGAATAGAGTGTATCAAAATAGAGAGAGAAAGAACGTGTATTGAGAAGTTTTTATGAAATACAGTAACTATGAGAGAGAAAATTCTGAAAAGGGAGAGAGAAAAATAAAAAATAACGTGTTTAGTGGCTTAAGTGTAGGAGATAACCAAAATTAGAAATTTTGCTATAAACCATAAAAGGTATCTATAGAATATATATTTAAAATAAATAAGGTGTTAACCTTTGCTATAGGAGGTAAAAATTCCTTTATAAGAAATTTTCATAAAGCACTATCTTTTAGTAGTAATTAGCCATCTATAGATACCATTTGCTATATTACGGATTATAGATACCTTTTCTGTGGTTATAAGATGTATTTGATGTATTTAAGCTATTGTATTCATGAATACAGTAGCAAATATAAGCGTGAATCAGGGAAGTCCAGCTAATCAGTTGTTGTATTCGAGTGTATTCGACTGTATTCATCGCGTGAAACAGGGGATTACACTGTTTTTAAACGAAAAGTGTATCAATTAACATAATAGACTCCTAATATAACTCAACAAACTCAATTATAACACACAAAATTTTATTTTCGGTTATAAAAAAGATTCTCAACTGAAAAATACCCCAAAAATATAGCAATCTTCGGAGAAATTATATAATACATCTAAATACATAAATTATATTAATTAAAAAAATATATGAATACATTAATGGCATATAGCGAGACAGTGAATACAATGAAATACATAGAATACAGCGGGATACATTGAAAAACAATGAAAAAAAAAGACAGTGAATACAATGAAATACATGGAATACAGCGAGATACATTGAATTACAATGAAAAAAAAGACAATAAATACAATGAAATACATGAAAATACAGCGTGATACGTTGAAAATACATTGAAATATATTAACAGAAAATCAAGTTGCTCAGCCCCAAACTCCGTCGTCTTTGCTCAAGAACAAACCCTAATTTCCGCCTTGTAGCCAAATAGTCCTTCCATCTTCAAAAATCTTGCAGAACGCTAATTGAACCGGAACTTACAGAATATTTAATCGAAACTTAATTGGATTCTTGTCTAGTTATCCGCATGGACTGAAATCCAGGCATCAATGAAAGATAAATATGTGATGCAGTCAAGCATTGTAAACTTGGTGAACCTCAACAACAAATAATCACCAACGATTTTGTGGATTTGCTTCGGCATGATTGGGTCTTCGGGTTAGGGTTTGTTGTTGATGTGCTGCTGGTCGCTGGATTTTGAAGGATTGATTAAAGTGAATCAAAGAGAAGATGCCGTTAGGAGGAGGAGGAGAGCGGAAATTTTAATGGGATGGGGGAAGAGAATGGGATGTATCAAAGTAGATAGAGAAAGAAGCGTATTTAGTAGCTTAGGGCTAGGAGGTAACCAAAATTAAATATTTTGCTATAAACCTTAAAAAGTATCTATAGAATATAATTTTTTTAAATGATATTTATTTAAAATAAATAAGGTGTTAACATTTGCTATAGGAGGTAAAAATTCCATATTTTAATCGGACACGACTTGAATAATGCTAATTCTTTTGTTTATATTTTAAGCTTCATGCCGGCTGACATGGCTCTTCATCATTCTTCTCTTTGTTTTCTTCCTTCAAAAAGGAAAATATGTTCTGTATCGTTTTTGTCTTCTTTTTTTTTTTTTCTTCCTCCTGTTACAGGAAATTTGGCCATGAAGTAGTAGAAAATGAGATATGGGGAGAAAGAGAGGGTGATAGTACTCGAGATCCGAGGGATTAGATTCTCTAAATCCCTAAATATAAGTTCAATCTGAAGAGAAGAAGGGGGAGAGGACTGAGGAGAGAAAAAAAGGAAAATTGTGTAACTAAATTCCTTGATTGAAGGCATGGATTGAGAGCCTTTTAAAGTGGATTGTATATATTTTGTAACTAAAATGTGTTTAGGTTGGGTAAATACCAAAACATGAACATCTTTCGTAATAAGGTTTCAAATAGTGTATAGGAATGAAAAATCTCAATTTCGACTAGAAAAGGGACACAAGGCTAATTTCAGGGTATGGATCGAATTCATGGAAGCCCAATTTCACGTTATGGGTAGAGTCCGTTGAGGCCCAACCATAAAAGCTTCTGGTTTATGAATAACTGGTCTTCAAAAGTATATCAACATACAACCGCGAGTTTTATAACTGCAAACTCAAATGATTATAACCCAAGCCAAAAATCATAGAAGAGATTTGTGGATCAAGAAAACTTAATATGCCAAAAAATTAGCAGGGTACATCTGCAGCACCAACTATAGTAAAGCTTCTGCCAACGTTCAGCGCAATGGAGCATGCTCCCACTCTCTAAAGCAGGAAGTCAGTAGGCCAAGAAACCCTCTTCATTCAGCGATTATCTTTTTAACTACTCCCAAGAGCATCACATTCGTGAATATCGGCCTCCTGACTTTTATCCCTGGTTAGGAGTAAACCCTTGAGGGGAATCAAAGTTCCACAAGAAAACATGATATCTTCCAGAAAGGAGTAATAATATAACCATATCTTCTCCAGTTCTGTAGTGCTCAGTAGAAGCCAATCCATTCTGAGATAAATCAAGAACTCAAGCAGTCCCAACTTTTTTGCATGTGGGAGGGCAAAGGAGCAACCAGCTTGATACTTTCAACATCTACAAGGTCAGCATCTGAAACTACTCGAGCTTGTTGCAAAGCCAAAGAAATATTGGGCAAAACCATCTCCTTACAGTGAAGATGAAGATGAGGCTGCTTGTCTGAAATACTTCCATTCCCTAAACGAAGGCTGAATGGATCTACTTCTTGCTCGGGAATACGTGCACCAAGGTTCACAATTGAAGTGGACGAAGATAGATGTTTCAACTTTCTATGAGCTTGCCAACCATATTTGTAATCTCCTACTATTGGCGTCCCTAATACCTCAGCACAATGAACGCGTAACTTCAATACAAAGATAGTGAAATAATCAGTTTCACATTTACTAGCTAAACAGCAAAAGTTGAAGCTAGCATCATAGAAAAGCCGTTCTGCGTACCTGGTGCTTTCTGCCGGTAAGTGGAGATAACTCTAGCCATGTGTAACCTGCAGTTTCAGCAACAGAAAATATATCCATAAACAAAGATGTTTGAGAAGATATGAGAATATTAAAACTGAAGGAAGAACTTTCTGTCCGCCAAAACTATCTTTTAGCATTGGCACAATAACTATTGTTTAAGCAACAGAAAAATGAAGAATGATCGGGATAATATGTGCCTACGTACATTGTGCAATAAGAAATCTATCCCCCAACAAGTATCTTATGGAGACCCTTAACCATTTCCCAATACAGAATATTCATGCAGTGTGAACAAGCAATGCAAAAATCACATAGGGCCCTAAAAGTTTCAACTAGCCAACCTATATGTGTTGCCTCCATACTGAATTACTCAAAATTGAACGTCAGTGCTTTTTCCTTGAAATGATTTACAAAGAGAAGTTTCTCTCCTATAGATTACGTTACAGGTCTAGGTCACGGGACTTCCACATTTCACATGAATCATTTTAGATCTTCAATAATTGACGACAAAAGAATTAAGTTGAATTCCATCTAAAACCCTTGTGCTTTAAGTAATTGTGCCAAATGTTGTACTGGAATAAAAGTAAGATATCGCAGCCCCCCACCCCCCACCCCCAAACCCTTAGCAAAAGAGGAATTACAACAAGAGCTCTTGCAGAAACTTCTCCGAGTAGCCCAAAAGAAAATGGTTAGCATTCAGAAGCAACCTTTCTCAGAGGATCCAATGATCCTATACTCTGTTACGGCAAACTGTGCTGATGGCTCTCTGACATCAGACATAATTGTGATGCGCTCAGATTTTCCATTGTCCAACACCACCTGAAATATGGAAACAATACGAAATCAAGTTTTCAGAAAACTTATTCTGTAGCAAAAATGTTTAACAATGCATTAAACAATTGATGCAGGAGAAAGAAGATAGCAGGTTTGAATTTCAGTTATGAAACACCCCCTCCCTGGTCCAAATAAACCCTGACCCCTTGAGCATTTAAATATTGTTGAAGAGAAAATGTAATAAAGCTAAAATTCCGGAAAATATAAACTGATGACGAATTGCTGCATCACAAGATGTAGTTGATAAAGTCAATCTTGACCAGAGTTCTATGAAGTGTTGGATGCCCTGCATCTCAGTATGCCATTTACATATCAAAAAGGAATCGTGAACAGAGCTCTTTAATGTGTCGTTCTGGTTAAGAAAGTGCTTGTGCATTATGACCTCTCAACTTTCTCTTTCTGCCAGCTTTTCTGCTTGAAAGGGAGAATTTTGACTTAAGCTGAGTTATTGAGTTGGTGAAGTCCAATGAAATCAGTTGCTCCTGACTCCTGCGTGTAGTTCCATAAAATGGTCTGACATGATAACCTTTTTTCCAACATCTGCCCATGAAACAATCATTTCACTTGCGTTAGCACTCAGCCTTGCACCATTCCTTGAAAATTGGGATAATAATTGATTCTATCTCATAAATCCAGGATAATGTAAAAGCTTCTATAGAGACCGTCAAGATTTGTGAAACGTGAGCAGAAAGAGAAAGTTGCTCCTGACTTCTGCGTGTAGTTTCATAAAATGGTCTGACATGATAACCTTTTTTCCAACATCTGCCCATGAAACAATCTTCTCACTTGCGTTACCATTGCACCATTCCTTGAAAATAGGGATAATTGATACTATCTCATAAATCCAGGATAATGTAAAAGCTTCTATAGAGACTGTCAAGATTTTTGAAACGTGATGCTACCTCCAATAACCAAGACTCCACCGACACTTTCAAAATGTTAAGGGGCTTCCCCCTTCTTTCCCTATTTTGTTATAGAGGGAGCTCCCCTAATTTGACATAAAAGATGAACTATTTAGTATTGGAATGAAACATATTCAAGGAGACCACCTCTTTTTTGTAAGTAAATAATGCTCAAACAGACTGGACTTATAGAGAATTTTCAAACTATTTCAGGATTGGTGCAGAGTTGATTGATAAGATCGCTTTTTGATAAGATTGATAGATAGATCGTTACACAGGGAGTTGCACAAATACACTAACAAGATTAGATTGCCGAACCTTTCCCAGTGGCACTGATATTAACCCTTTGGAGCGTCTGGGACATCCTATGACAAGTGCCCAGTACCTCTTCTGCAAAACTCTTTTCTTGCTTTCAAGATCCTTTAGAAGTGAAAGGCAATAAATCAGGTTTGGAAAAGCAAATAGACTTGAACCGTGCCATCATTAGTAAGTTCTCCATAAAAATTGCAAAGAACATCCGTATACCTCAGTTTGTGTGCCAAATGTTTTCTCACGGAAGACAGAATGCAGAACTGAAGCACTTAATTGTGTTCTTCCCATCACCAATATTCCGCTACAATCTCTATCAAGTCGGTGTACCTAATAAACAATAAGCTTGTCCACAGCAGGACAGACAGAGATAAGATTCGCTAAAAGGGTACTCAGCACATAAAGACAAACAAGAGGACATTAAGAGTGTTCCCTAACATAAGTAGCTGAAGAGAGGGAGGAGCAATTAAACTTGACAAATGGAAGAGCAATTTCCTTACCTTACGCTATAACATCCATGAAACTGATAAAAAAAATATGAAAGTCTTCAAACAACATATATGACATCATGTGCATATTTTCTAAATTTTAGTGACAGATTGAGAAGTTCTTCCTCTAAAATCCAACAACAAAGACATGCCTACAAAGCTGATCATTGCAAGATGCATATACCTTCAACATAGCTTAAATCCTATTAGACTTTCCTATTTTACATCCATTCTAGGTACATATTTCTTTTCACAGAAATGATTAGAAAATGCTGTGGTGGAATAAAAATATAGACAGCTACCACTTACTTGTTAAATACAAAATTTTCATACTACAGCCTAGACACAAGCACGAGATATTGGCTTGAGCTTTTACTAAAGAAAGATCAACAGGCAATTGAATGAAAAAAGTAAATGCCAAAACCATGAAACTTACCAGGCGAGGGGCCTCCGAATACTCATATTTCATATACTTAGCAGCTAGTTCATCTAAACTTCTTTTTATGCCAATTCCACCCTGTCCAAAGTTCCAGTTGCTGTAACAGGAATATTAACTTTCACAATCCCACAAAGAGAACTTGGATATTCACAACTAACCTGAACTGGTAGTCCTGGAGGTTTATTGAGAACAATAATTTCTGGATCCTGAAAATTTTCAGCAAACAGAAGCTGAAGTCAGACTTAAAAAGCACAAAGGTTGAGTTTGTCCCCCTTCATATGCTATTGGCCTAGATAGGGGAATGTCACAGTAAGGGAAGAGTTGGGAAGTCCAAAAATCAGCTATAAATTTCAGACCTTATACAATTCAAGGCTATGAAGAAACTTCATTTCCTCTTCACTAGAAGGGTAATCCGTTACTTTGTCCGAGGGAAACTTCTGAACAGTTATTGGAAGAAATATTCGATCCCCAATGTTCATCGACTCCTTGGCAGCAACCTTCAAGAAACATGAGATATCAGATTAAGACTTTGTAAATTCATAAACTGGTCATATGGCAGCAGAAGGCATCTTATGTCAAGAGATGAGTCACACGATATCTTAATTGAGAATCAACAAATAAATCCTGAAAGAGAAATAAATTGTACCCTCTTGGGCCGCTGTTCTTCAACATCAGAAGATTCTCTGCGAACCTGAAACGAGGATATTGCTAAATCAACCATGTGATGTAGAAGACATGTATAAGACTTCTTTTTTTATATAAGACATGTAATAAATAAATTCTAGTCGATATTTTTTGGTGAAAGCTCATCCCAGACATTAGCTTTATACATGCAAAAGAACAAGAGTTCTCTAACTTAATACTAGTAAGTGTTGAACAACGAATTCCATGTACACATATCCTTATTAGCTTACAGCATTCAGCTTTGTCTTAATTTTGGTTTAAAGAAACAACGGCAGAAAAGGAGTTACTAACTAATATCTTAAATAGCTGCACATTAGTGAAACTTATTATGCCTACTAATGGTCACTGACTTCGTTAGGAAATAATCTGCAGAATCAGAAATCTAGAATGAGATCATATACTTGCTTAATTATTTGATCAAATCTGCACTTCCCCTCTCTCTCGCTTCCATAGATTTTCAGCATATGTACAATTAGAAACGACAACATCTAGCACTTCAATGTTAAAAGACAACGATTCGCCTATACCTATTAGTACAATTAGAATTCTTAATGCCATAAATTGTAAATATGAGCTATGAACTTTATCATTGCATATGAGCCATCTAAAATAAAACAAAATTCCTACAGTATAATTTTTGACAAAAATAATCCTAACAAAAGATGATTACTTTGTTGTTCTATTCGTAAAAAAATCTTAGAATCTGCATAATGATGACGCAAAAGCAACTTAAAGGAGAATGAATGAAGTTTTAAGCAAAAAAAAGATTGTACCTTCAATATCTTTTTTGATTTAAACTCTAGTAGGAGAATATGTAAATAAACGCACATTAAGAAAATGTAATGATTGTAACATGTTTGGGACCTGTCTTAAGCGAAAAAGCTTCTGTACTAATGACTGCGGCAACTCAGGGCAGCAACGCTGAACCCATTTGAGTGCTGTCATAGTGTTAGTGGATTTGTCCATTTTAACTCCGGCGAGTTCCTTCCCTAAAGCAGCGCCGTTAACGGTGGGAGTGAAGGGTGGTAGAGTGAACCACTTGCCTTTTTTGCTTTCATTCCCACTATTATTATTAAAACCTTGTGCATCCGCTGCTGTGGTGGCGTAGTAGCATCGACACTGATAAAAGCCTGAATACAGCGTCTTGACTTCGTCGGAGAACCGTCGAGCGCGGTGGAACACTCGCCGCACTAGGCAAGACTCTGCCATAGCGGTGGTTGCGGGTCGGGTTTTGGGTAATCAGAGTGGGTTCTGTATGACGGGAGTAAAATTTAGGCCATATTTGCTGACCGCAACTACTTTTTGCGGACGGGGAATTAGAGCGCGTTTGGACGAGAACTTTTAAGGTAGCGTTTTTTCAAATTTATTTTGAAAAATTTGATTTGGGTGAAATTTATTTTTGAAGGTTCACAAATACCCTACACAACTTTTATCAATAACATTTATTATATTATCGCAAACTATACTCCTGAACATAAATAAATTTGGTACAAAATTATCATTTTTATAATGAACTACATAATGCATTATCAGATGACCAAGAAGACGAAGCAGAATTATTACAAAATAATAAATGATGGACTCTTTTATAAAATACAAAAGTTTGGGATAATTTTTAAAAAATATAATAGTGATATTTAGGGCCAAAATTGGTTTTGGGTTTTGAAATTTGCCAAAATGTAGATAAAATCTAGGCCAAATATGTATTTTCCAAAAAAATCGCAAATATATTTTTGCAAAATCTATAGCCAAACGGGTCCTAAGTTAAAGTCATAATTTACTAATTCTAGCTTTTGGTTTATTTTTGTTATTTTAGCATTTTATTTTATTTTATTTTATCCAAATATTATAAAATAACTTATCTATTTTGGCTTAAAGATACTTAAAATAAACCGATCCAAACGGGCTCTTATTTTGCTGACCAAGACACCTCGTACAAAAATCAGAAATAGCCCATAATTGAAAATAACCACAGTTTCAAAACTAATCGAAATTTAGTCATTTTTACATGAAAAAATAAAATTAAAATTAAAATATCTTTAAAAATCCGAAAAAATTCAGCATAATATGTTAGAGTTCGAGTTTTTAACTTTTAAGATTCCAGCATAATATGCTAAAATTTCAGAATATGTTGGAGTTACAACATAATATGTCGAAAGTTAATAAGCAGGAGTTCCATAATCCAGCATATTATGCTAAAACGCGTGATGGACTTCCAACATAATATGATGGAAGTTTATACGCAAGAGATCCATAATTCAACATATTATGCCGAAATTTTTAGTGTTTCAGTTAAATAGTGGCTAATTTTTAATAACTTTGCAAACGCTGGTTATTTTTCAATTATTAATCCGAAAACTGACTAGCCCATGCTATTTTCACATTATTATGCAAACATACACTTCCTAAATGGGCTAAACAAGCACATGTTGTGGACAAACCCAAGCCTATCTGTAATGTCTGAATTCCACTTCCTAACCGTAAAAGTCCAGCCCAACAATGTTCACTCTTTAAAAAAAGATTATTACACAAATAGCCGGCCAGATTTAATATGTACATTTTCTAGTCGGTGTGTATAAATTATACATTGATTATATACAGTTATACATATATTATACAGAAATTATACATATATTATACATCCATCTTTAGTTTGAAATTAGATGGACAACTATTTGGGTTAATTGTTCCGTAGTCTGTTACTACCACCCCAGTAGGGTTTTGCACTGTCAGATGCAATCTAACACCATTCCTAACCTGATTGAAATTCTTCATTTTCCTCTGTAATATTGTCCCTAATTTTTTTTTTCAAAATTGTTGGGTTTTTAATTATTTGAAGGAATTCAACACCATCATTTTCTCATATTTGAAGGATTAAATCAAATTCTTGATTTTCTTCTTAGGAAGGCTTTTGCTACATATACAGTTTTCCGTCTCGTAATTAAAGAACATTGCTCACTATGTCACGACCTCTTTTGCTTTCCGTGTCAATTTGAAATGGCGGCTAAATATACATAGTAGGCTAAGATCTAAAAGTGTCAGTCTTTTAAAAATGGGACTTTTACCTTCCTATACAACATATGAAATCTTATTACCCTCAATGTTTAAGGTTTGTGTTAATTATATTTCAGCATACCAAATTACCATTTATATACCAAAATTCAAATTAGGGATATAATTAAGGGTGCATTTATATTAGGCGCTAATTTAGGACCGTATCTTTTCACATTTATCTTTACCCGTCTCTCCCCCAACCCCCCCCCCCCCCCTTTGGAGATGGACAGTAGCATCAATAATCTTCAGATTAGTTCTCACTTACTTCCCCAAAAATCTTAACTTAGCGACCGTATCTTCAGATTAGTTCTTATTTACCAATTCTCTATTTACACGTACAAAACATCAATGTATCGTTATTTTCATTGACCTCTTTTTTTTGTTTTTTTTTTTTTGGGCAGTGGCTGAAGGTTACGGGTTAACACAGTCGATTGAAACTCGAAGAAGAAGAAGAAGAAGAAGAAGAAGAAGAAGAAGAAGAAGAAGAAGAAGACATATTTCCAGAAATTGTAGATAAATTGTAGAAAAATTATAAAAATTGTAGATAAATTGTAGACTGTTTTTTGCAGAAGATTTTGTAGAAGCTTTAGTCGTTTTGGATTTGTGAAAACAGAAAACAATGCATCTACAATCATAATACAAATAATCTACAATTTATCTACAAGATATCTACAAAATGAATACATTGAATTTTAATATCCCAATTCCCATTTCAATTGTAGCATAATTGGCATTTTTGACATAATTGTAGAAGATTTGTAGAAGTTTTAGTCTTCTCAATCTACAATTTATCTATAATTACTACATTTATCTACCAATTTTATCTACAATTCTAACAATTTAACTACAATTTAATCTACAATTTCTGGAAATATGTCTTCTTCTTCTTCTTCGAGTTTCAATCTGAAATTCAGTCAAAACCAAGTCTAATCTTCACCAAAATCCCTCAAAATTGAGATATAAACTCCTAAACATATTCCGAATTATTTACAACAACACCCAATCCAAACAAATAATGATTTTTGAGAGCCCAAATTTGAATTCAAAGCTTTCAAGCTTTTTAACGGCTATCAATGGTGGAAAATATATGGAAGAACAGATGAAGATGAAAAACAGAAATCTCCTTTCCGTTTCAATATTCTTCTCCTAAATCTGTTCAGAATATTCACGCCAAATATGTTCAGAATATTCTTCTCCTAAAATTTAGCTCGCATAAATAGGAAGATACAACTGCTATTAATTAGCTTTTAATGATTGGTACAAAAACTGTAGAAATAATATGGACTGGGCGGGTAATTTAGAAATTATGCACATTTTGGTAATAAGGTTTCATATATGGTATAGATAAGAAAAAATCCCTTTAAAAATTAGAGAAGTGAATTAGAGCCCGTTTCGATTAACTGATTTCAAGTAGCAGATAAGTATTAGGTGCTGAAAAGCACTTTTAAGTGCTGAAACTGATTTAATAAATAAGCAGTTACGTGTTTGGATACAAGTACTGAAATTGATAATAACAGCTTGTTTGGATGGTTGTTACCTACTGTATCGTATCGTATTGTTACTTTAAATGCAATGTTTGTTTTGGTTGTTACTTAAATTTTATTGTATCGTATCGTTAAATCCGTCGTTACGTAACGATGAAATGTGCCACTTTATGTAACGACCGATTTGGTGTGGTCGCGTCGTTTCCTTGTGTTTTTCTCTCAATCTCACCCTTCATTATTATTAAATAATTTTATTTTATCATTTACCCTACCTTTCTATATACCATATCATAATTTTTCTTTATAATATTGCAAGTTTTTTCATCATATCACAGGTGCGTGATACCATGAAACGATGCTAAAACGACACAATCCATCCAAATATTGTATTCATCAAACGATACAGTACAATACAATACAATACGATACGATACATTATGAAGCGATATGTAACAACCATCCAAACAAGCTGTAAGTTGCTGCAGTATTTGATAAAAAAGTGCTGATAAGCTCTTTTTCTGTTAAAATGACTTAAATAACCTAAGAACTGTTTACACTTATAAGGGCGTAATTTTTTCAAAATTTTAGATTTCAGATCGCTTCAAATACAAAATATTCTATTTGTCATTTTATTTTAAATACAATTGTGCTTAGATAAGATAATTTTTATGATAAATATAATTTATTTTATGATAAGCATATAATCATAAGTTATAATAATTAATAAATTAAAATAAACCTAAACAAGACAAAATATTTGAAGAGTAATCATAAGTTATAATAATTATTAAATTGACAAAAGTTTCTCAGTAAAAAATAAACCTAAATAGGACAAAATATTTGAAGAGAAACAAACAATGTCTTCATAACCACAACACTTAGAAGGTAATACACCAGAAATTTAATATGTCTTCATCTATTACATACAGCTCAAAGACTAATACATAATCACATAGATAATAATATGCAAAGGAATAGAGAATTTGCTATTTTAAATAGTCAATGAGAATTACAAACTTGAAGAGGACGAGATGGAAGGGGGGGGGGGGGTAGGTTGAAAAAATACTTGAGACAGTGAGTATCGATGTAGGAGTTTTGTTCTAAAGGAATATTTTATGAATAAAATAGTAAAAATCTTGGTCAAACTTAAAGTGCTTATAAGCTAAAAATTCATAAGCTATGGGTGACCAGCTTATGGCTTTTGGCTTATTTTTAACTTATAAGCACCTGACATATAAGTACTTTTAACTTTACCAAACGTGTAGATAAGTCGAAAAGTGCTTATAAACTAGTTTGACCAGCTTATAAGCTTAGCCAAACACCCTCCTAACTGTATATACAGTTGAAAATTTGGTGGAATAAGTATACATTTTCAACGACTGATAGCAAATATGGAAATTGTATAAAGAAAGTTCCATAATTAAATAATAATATGTATATGATCATAGACTTTAATTTCCTTTTATTGTTATACAAGAAGGAAGCGATTGTAGCACAGCTTCTTTCACTATCAAACCTTTGACATAATCCACAATGATACATATGACACGTAAATCTTTTTTGTCTTCCTAAGATCAATTGCTGAGTTTTATTGACAATCTACGTACTTTGCATTATAATTTATATTAAATTTCCTGACTTCTGAGAAGAAGCAGTGATAACTTTCTATAGAACATTTGGGTAACGTAACTTTGAGGAAGTTTATTACTTGTGCCCTGCACCAGGACTAGTACCCGAATGCAGATCATCAACTTCAGCATCTTCAATATTAGTAATAGGTTTC